GGGAGGACATCAAGGGGGATCAGGTCAACAAAGTTGCGCCCTAATTCCTATGAAAAGAATAAAACAACAAGACAAGGAAAATTAAGCAAAAATGGATACAACAAAATAAATACAGAAAGTACCCGCACGAAGAGAAAACGACTTACAGTTGGAGGCGGGTTGTTTGCAGAGTACTTGGAGATAGTAAGCGGGACAACGCTTGCTCCTTTTAGCATCTTCTGGAGACGCTTGAGTACCTCCTCGTCGGTCAACTCAAAGGCAGGGACCATGCGTGAAGGATCCTTAACCCCAGAGTACTCGAAGCCAAAGTTCTCTCGCTCCTTCAGAGGCTGAACACGACGACGAAGAAAGCTCAAGACAATACCGAAGCCGGTCAAGCCCTGCTATTTTAGAGTACTTATCCTATCAAGAAATGGCTGGATCGCCTGAACCTCAGCCGTCGCCACAGGGTTCTTATCCCATCGGTCATTAACCAAGGGACCAGATCCAGAGTGAACAGCAAGAGGAGGAATCAAATTGGTGGCGTAAAACCAGTCGGCACGCCAATCCCTCACAGAATCAACCAGGTCATAGTCAAAGAACTTGTTCTTAAGACCTTGGCGAAACTGAATCCCGCAGCCACCAAGAACACTGGTGTCTTCGTGGTGGGGTTGGGGTTTCAGACGAAAGAAGTAGCGAAAGAGAGAAAGAGAAGGGGGAATTCCAAGGAAAGTTTTGCAAAGATAAACAAAAACAGAAAGATGGAGGACGGCATTGGGAGCAAGATGGTTCAAGCTAACCCCAAAGTAATTGAGAAACCAATGAAGGAAGGCGGAAGCAAGAAGGCAAAGACCGACACGGATGAAAGAGACGAAAAGAACGATCTCACCAGGACCCGGAGCAGGAACCCGATGCTCGCCTGGAGCTCTCCATTCAGCAATGTCCTTGCTCTGGATCAAGCTGTCGCTGACAAGCTCGCGAAGCTGGTCTTCGGTTGTTGTTGGAGCCAGCCAAACCTTCTAGGCAGCCCTCATGGCCACGAACTCCTGGTTCTCGATCAAAGAAAGGGATGACTCCTCATCCACGAAGGCTGCCTGGGACTTGCTCGCGGCTTTCTTCTTGCCCATATGCTAACGGAAGCAAGAAGGCAATAGGGAAAGATGAGGCTCAGAAGGCGGCGCTAAGGTGACGATGACAATGGCGACGGCGGATTTCTGAAAACTAGGGTTTCAAGACAAGAGAAGGGCAGTAAAGAAAAAGAAGATGAAAGGTCTTTAAATAGATTTTATAGCAATAAAAACGGCCCACCAGGCCTGTTAAAGCACGGTGTGAGAACGCAACGGTCCATTTACTGACACAGCTAAAATGACGGAAGGCACAAATCCACACAACGGTAAAGTTCAACGGGCAGATTTCGGACTTATCCATCCAGGAAAACGGCAGAGTTACCATATTGCTGCAAAAAGAACTCATCAACCATGAGGCAACGGAAGGTTACCTCACAAGGAACATAACAACCTGGTCCTTAAAAAAGAACTCGGGACTCTCATGAACAACCGGGACATCAGCAGAATAAAGAATGACAACTCAGAAGACAAGATTCTTTTCATTATAAATGGTTTCAAGAAATTGAAGATTACACATCTTACAAGACCCAACAAACTCGGTACTACGACAAGCAAGGTAGAAAAGAGGAACCCGGACACAGCTAGGCTCTAGAACGACTACGTGTCCCAAATTGCTACTCGGTAGAATAAACAACACTCGGCTACACTGTTTTCTTCAAAGGACGGACGCAGTGCATCCAAGGCGGAAATTAGCAGCACGGCGGGACAACATAGACCAGGGGAAGTTGGCAGGCATCTGTCTACCCAAGCCCGATGTGATGCAGGATCAGGTGTTGATCTACACCGGACAGTCGCAGGGCGGGCAAGGAAGATCAATCCAGAACTGCTGGATAAAGGAACGCATCCCACATCACAAGACTTCCTCCAACTACCACCATGTACTTCCAAGTACAATGCTGCTGCAGGATTAGTCTACCTCTAATCCCTATCATAAGACTTTCTCCAGCTACGACAAGACGCACAGGAACTACAAAATACGTCCGGGGGCTGCTCTACTTCACAAACTACCATATTCATGACTACGAAGGCTTCAACAAAATGTTCGATGAATGAAAACAAACACTCTGGGAGGGTATTTATAAATCGAAGGAGCGGCGCACATGGACTAGGAGTACCAACAAAACAAGCCTAACAAAGGACACAGTGAAAAGACATGACTCAATAATGGAAGACTCAGGCGAGAAGGAACAGTACTCGAAGACGAGCATATTCGGAAGAATATGCCAACGTTGTACAACCCATGAACAGGCAACATTTACACTCAACCACCACCATACAACTACACCTGACAAACAGCAAACTACCAGAGAATACGCCAAGACAATGCATCCGAGTTCTTTTTGAATCAAAGAACCCGGATAAATGCTCAGAGGCTGCAACAGGGGAAGATTTCAGTTCCTCGAACAAATCAGACTCAAGATCCTCTAACTCTTTGTTCCAAACAGCAAGAGGCTCGGGGGCTACACTCAGTGAGTGCACTTTTTCTTCAAAAAAGCGCACATCACTCGAAAGGCTTCTTCAAGACAGCAATTTTCAAACAACATAAGATTCAAGACCCTCTAGCTCCTTGTTCCAAATAGCAAGAGGCTCGGGGGCTACACTCAGTGAGTGCACTTTTTTCTTTGAAAAAACGCATGTCACCAAGAAGACTTCTTCAAGACAAAACTACTTCAAGGACTCATGACAAAAAGAAGCCGGACTGAGCTATATCCGAGTTCTTTTTGATAAAGAACCCTTCAACGAAGGATCAGAGCGATTTCAAGATAAGACCCTCCTGCTCCTTCTACCAAATAGCAAGAGGCTCGGGGGCTACACCCAAAGGGGAGTACTTTTTTCTTCAAAAAAGGTACACACCACGTGAAGATCTCACAGAGCGCTACATGGTTTCGCTCAAGAAAGCACTCGGACGACGCATGTTCCTGCTCGGCAAGACCTGAAAGAACAAGACGAGGCTTCCAGAGCTCAACCATGAAGTGCTCGGGGGCTTGTCGGTGCGGGACCCACAGGATACCCCGCAAGGAAGAGAGAAGATCTAGTCTAACTAGGATTCTCCCTATATAATCTTAGTAGTAGTATTATTCTGTAATCCTACAAGGAACTCTCATTGTAAACCGACTAGGATTCTGACCTCCTGACTATATAAAGGAGGGCAGGGTTCCTAGAGACGGGAGATCACGACTTCTACTACACAACAACACAAAATCAATCCAACGCAAAGGCTAACGCCGACTAGACGTAGGGCTATTACTCGACTATAGTCGAGGGCCTAACCTAGGATAAATCGACTGTCTCTTGCGTTCACCGTCGAGTTCCGCATACGCTAAATCCCGAACATACTGTCCCGGGTAACCCCGTGGTAGGCTATCGGTGGTAAAGCATCGACACCATCTTAGTCTCATTTTTTCTCAAGTTTTTGTAGGATTGCTGAGAAAGGTTTACATTAATGATTTTCCTTAATGGGTCTAAGCCTTTGAGCCCTAACTGATGTTTTAAATAGCTAGGATGTTGGCCATGGCCCTCTTCATCTGTATATTGAAGAGTAGACTCATATCATAGCCAGTGGAAGGAACAAAAGTTGCATAAATATTGCCATTCTCCATTTTGTATGGGAACAAATTAACTTTGACATTTGTAAAAGCTAGATGTACATCCATTTTAATCAAGAGCTAGAGTTCAACATATACCCCTCCGCTCAGGTTTATTACATGCTCTAGCTTTTCCCTAACTTTGACATACTTCCTAGGAAATCTATCCAAAATTTTGAACATCAAGTTCGTTTCTTTGAATAACTTATGACATATGTATGATAGTGTTTTTTGTTGTCAAAGTGTCAAAACTTTGTCACAGTTATACAAGATTGGTTTTAAACAATACTAATGTAAATTGTAATCAAGAACATAGGGAGTGTGAGGCAATTGCCATGTTTAGCTATAAGTATTCTAATTTTGAAAATTCTTTATGTGTGCATGCATCTATACATACTAGAATTTCATTTAGTCTCGATCATGTAGTGTTTGTTCATTCATTGTTGAATAACTTCTCACCTAACTACTGTGCATGCTTTAACCATGAGTACAATACTACAACAAAGTATGTTGATAAAGGCCTTGATACACATGAGCAAGTCATAACTTTACATACTCAAGTTTATAAAGTGCAACATTTATGATGTGGCTAAGGCTGTAACATGTGTAAACTGAATTGATCAAGCATGTGGAAAGTGTCTTTCCTACACATACCATATAATCCAATGAAATTGATACCTAAATGTCAAAATCGACTAGGCGCCATGTCATCTATAGCTTATCTATTGTTTGGTAAAAGCCAAAATCTAACTAGATATACATGAGCTCTAACCTATATAAATAGCCCCCAAATCAGTAGCTAATCCATCGCCCATACCATTGAGATCAATCAGAAACATACCAAGTGAAACGCACTAGCAACGTCCTCGCAACAATGGCTACCAAGATATTTGCCCTCCTTATGCTCCTTGCTCTTTCAATGAGCTTTGCAACCGCGGTCATTATTCCACAGTGCTCACTTGCTCCTAATGCTATGATTCCATAGTTCCTTCGACCAGTTAGTGTTGTGGGGTTCGAACACCCAACTGTCTAGGCCTATAGGCTACAGCAGGCGCTTGCGGTGAGCATCTTACAACAACTAATTGCCCAGTTGCAACAGCAATCTTTGGCCCATCTATCTATACAGACCATTGTAGGGCAACTGCAGCAATAGTTCATGTCGGCACTCAGCCAACTAGCCGTGGCAAACCCTGTCGCCTACTTGCAACAGCAGCTGCTTGCATCCAACCCACTAGCTATGGCGAACGTTGCTACATACTAGCAACAACAACGGCTGCAACAGTTTCTATCAGCGCTCAATCAAATAGCCATGGCGAACCCTGTTGCCTACCTACAACAGCAACAGTTGCTTCCATCCAACCCACTGGTTGCGGCCAATGCTGCTGCATACCTGCAACAACAACAGCTACAACATATCCTACCAGCGCTCAGTCATCTAGCCGTGGCGAACCCTGCCACCTACTTGCAACAGAAACAGCTGCTTCCATTCAACCAACTGGCTGTGGTGAACACAGATGCATACCTACAACAACACTAGCTACTGTCAATAAACCCACTGGCAGTTGCTAACCCATTGGTTGCCGCCTTCTTGCGGCAACAATAGTTGTTGCCATTCAACTAGATATCTTTGATGAACCCTGCCTTGTCGTGGCAGCAACCCATCGTTGGAGGTGCCATCTTCTAGATTACATATGAGATGCACTTGCTAACAAAGCTCTCATATCGGCATGTCCAACTTCCTTGAAATAATCAATATATTGATTGAGATTTATCTGTGTCTATTTCTTAACTGTGTTCTTCGTATATACAATTAAAAATATCAAATCATAATTAAAGACACATGCTTGGTTAATACATAGACCATACCACATTACGTCGTCAATCCAAAGATGTGTGAGCCTGACCTCTTGAATGTTATCATTTTTGTGTGTATGTGTGTTTAGAAGATAGATGTGTTTGTACGAGCTTGCAGTTGAGTACTTGCATCTGTTATATGTTCTTTTGAGAAAGAGATGGGCACATATGCTTTGACCATGGCCATTCAAATCTGGTGTACATATACCCAGCGAAACTTAATATAAGTTCATCAGTAAGCCTATATGTTTCACGCAAAGTCTTACCTCTTAATTATAATTTTTAGTAAATACTCAGTGCGTATATGTTTAACTAGAACCCAAATTGTGGAGGCCACCATAATATTGTACACATATCAGGAAATCTTTGGAGACCATGAACTTAACAACTCCAAGGTCATTAAATCAACTGGATCCTATCAGTAACAATTTCCATGTTGGTAACAACAAAGCACGGAACTTCTTGGTCGATAAAATTTATGTTGAATATAAAGTTTAAATTATTATCCCATGAATAAATTAAAGAAAATTTTGTTGAGGGACACCAAATTATTATCAACATGCTAGCTCACTTTTCTACTAGGTAGCATTACCAAAGATGGGATCCTTGCTGATGACACCACAGCCACTAAAATAATATTTAGATTTGGGATATCTAAATCCAAAATTGAAGCCCCAAGATTGAAGTACCAACCGGCCACCTCCAGCCTACAATTTTGTGGAGAGAAGCCACTTGGAGTTCATTTTGACTCCTAGCTTAGTCCAATGTATTGCAATTTCCTATGTGTAGCATGTGACAAAGGGCATGTTCTGAAATGTTAAATCTAACAAAATTAAGAAGTTTATTACCAACATGACAATTTACAAGGCATAGCTCATAACACTAGAACCAACATAGCCTACACAAAAATGTCATATAAAAACAGAAGGAGTAACTTATCACATCTATGTGAGAACCCATGACACAAATTATATAGACTCATGCAATTAATTCCTTCGCAAATAAAAAAAGGAATAGGAAAGGAAGCCATGAAGACTTTTTTCCCTCACTTCGATTATGTGTCAACGGAAGTTATTTTTTTTAAATATTTGTAGCCATATTGGTTTTCCACAGCCTAAAATAGGTGCCCAGTCCTAGTGATTAAGCTTATCAACCCAATGTTCTCGATCTTCTTCTTTGGGACTAGATTCAACTCGTGTGTAGGGAAAGGCAAAACCTCTTCAAGTAGACTCCGAGGAATTAAATATGTATACCCATGGCACATTGTTCTTGCAAAAAGGAATATGGGGTGTGTTGTCATGGAACTTCAAGTTTGGATCTTGTAGTTTTTCGATAGAAATATCAAATATTGCCTCCGTCTTAGTCTCTTTTTTCCTTGAGTTTTTGTAGCATTGCTAAGAAAGGTTTACATTAATGATCATGTTGTCTTTTTTCCTTAATGGGCTTATGCCTTTGAGCCCTAACTGATGTTTCAGATAGCTAGGATGTTGGCCATGGCCCTCTTCATCTGTATATTCAAGGGTGGACTCATATCATAGCCAGTGGAAGGAACGAAAGTTGCATAAATATTGTCATTCTCCATTTTGTATGGGAACAAGTTAACTTTGACATTTGTAAAAGCTAGATGTACATCTATTTTAATCAAGAGCTAGAGTTCAACATATACCCCTCCTCTCAGGTTTATTATATGCTATAGCTTTTCCCTAACTTTGGCATACTTCATAGGAAATCTATCCAAAATTTTGAACATCAAGTTTGTTTCTTTGAATAACTTATGACAAATGTATGATAGTGTTTTTTGTCATCAAAGTGTATTCAAAACTTTGTCAAAGTTATGCAAGATTGGTTTTAAACAATATTAATGTAAATTTTAATCAAGAACATAGGGAGTGTGAGGCAATTGCCATGTTTAGCTATAAGCATTCTAATTTTGAAAATTCTTTATGTGTGCACACATCTATACATACTAGAATTTTATTTAGTCTCGATCTTGTAGCGTTTGTTCATTCAGTGTTGAATAACTTCTCACCTAACTACTGTGCATGCTTTAACCATGAGTACAATACTTCAACAAAGTCTGTTTATAAAGGCCTTGATACACATGAGCAAGTCATAACTTTACATACTCACGTTTATAAAGTGGAACATTTATGATGTGGCTAAGGCTATAACATGTGTAAAGTGAATTGATCATGCATGTCATCTCTCATGTATCAAAAGAATTCCAATAGAAAAGGACACTTTTATATTGTACGTAGTGGAAAGTGTCTTTCCTACACAGACCATATAATCCAATGAAATTGATAACCAAATGTCAAAATCGACTAGGCGCCATGTCATCTATAGCTTATTTGTTGTTTGGTAAAAGCCAAAATCTAACTACATATACATGAGCTCTAACCTGTATAAATAGCCCCCAAATCAATAGCTAATCCATCGCCCATACCATTGAGATCAATCAGAAACATACCAAGTGAAACGCACTAGCAACATCCTCGCAACAATGGCTACCAAGATATTTGCCCTCCTTGCGCTCCTTGCTCTTTCAATGAGCGCTGCAGCCGCAGTCATTATTCCACAATGCTCACTTGCTCCTAATGCTGTTATTCCACAGTTTCTCCCACCAGTTAGTTCTATGGGCTTCGAACACCCAGCTGTCCAGGCCTATAGGCTACAGCAGGCGCTTGCGGCGAGCATCTTACAACAACCAATTGCCCAGTTGCAACAGCAATCCTTGGACCATCTATCCGTACAGACCATTGTAGCGCAACAGAAGCAACAATTCCTGCCGGCACTCAATCAACTAGCCGTGGCGAACCCTGCCGCCTACTTGCAACAGCAGCTGCTTGCATCCAACCCACTGGTTGTGGCAAACACTGCTGCGTACCAGCAACAACAACGGCTGCAACAATTCCTGTCAGCGCTCAATCAACTAGCCGTGGCGAACCCTGCCGCCTACCTGCAACAGCAGCAGTTGCTTCCATCCAACCCACTAGTTGCGGCCAACGCTGATGCATACCTGCAACAACAACAACTGCAACAGATCCTACCAGAGCTCAGTCATCTAGCCGTGGCGAACCCTGCCGCCTACTTGCAACAGCAACATCTGCTTCCATTCAACCAACTAGCTGTGGCGAACACCGCTGCATACCTGCAGCAACAGCAGCTAGTGTCAGTAAACCCACTGGCAGTTGCTAACCCATTGGTTGCCGCCTTCTTGCAGCAACAACAGTTGTTGCCATTCAACTAGATATCTTTGATGAACCCTGCCTTGTTGTTGCAGCAACCCATCGTTGGAGGTGCCATCTTCTAGATTACATATGAGATGCATTTGATAACAAAGCTCTCATACCGACCTGTGCAACTTCCTTGAAATAATCAATATATTGATTGAGATTTAACTGAGTCTATTTCTTAAGTGTGTTCTTCATATATACAATTGAAAATATCAAATCATAATTAAAGACACATGCTTGGTTAATACATAGACCATACCACATTACGTCATCAATCCAAAGATGTGTGAGCCCGACCTCTTGAATGTTCTCATTTGTGTGTGTATGTGTGTTTAGAAGATAGATGTGTTTGTACGAGCTTGCAGTTGAGTACTTGCATCTGTGGTATGTTCTTTTGAGAAAGAGATTGGCACATATGCTTTGACCATGGCCATTCAAATCAGGTGTACATATACCAAGTGAACCTTAATATAAGTTCATCAGTAAACCTATATGTGCCTCCAAAGTTGTTCACGCAGAGTCTTACCTCTTAATTATATTTTTTAGTAAATACTCGGTGCGTATGTTTTTTAACTAGAACCCAAATTGTGGAGGCCACCGTAATATTGTAGACATATCAGGAAATCTTTGGAGACCATGAACTTGACAACTCCAAGGTCATTAAATTTGCTGGACCCTATCAGTAACAGTTTCCAAATTGGTAACAACAAAGTACAGAACTTCTTGGTCAATAAAATTTATGATGAATATGAAGTTTAAATAATTATCTCATGAATAAATTAAAGAAAAAACAGTTGAGGGATACCAAACTTGCCTAGAATTGGCTGCTCAACTGGCTAGCTCACTTTTCTACTAGATAGCATTACCAAAGATGGGATCCTGGCTGGTGGACACCACACCCACTAAAATAATATTCAGATTTGGGATATCTAAATCTAAAAGTAAAGCCCCAATGTTAAACCAAAATACATCATTGCTATAGGAGCTTGTAGTATTACAGGGAAATGTTCGGTTTGTGCTTATAAATTTATGATAATTAAATAGTACATTTAATTACAAATCTAACCATATAAGTTTACGTTATAATAACAAAAAAATATTAGTTAATTTATTGGTCAAAGATTTTGAAGGTTGAATCTTGATATGCGCGTGCGCCTTATAAAATAGAATGGAGGTAGTATCTAATGCGACGAAAAACAATCAATAACATCATCTTTCCTCTACCAACAAAAAACACATGTTTCCTCATTTGTGTGGTTTAGTTTGTGAGAAGTTGTTTGAATTTAGTTCTTATAGCATTGCGTAACTATTTTTAGTTGCATTGGCCAAATAAAGCTTGGTGTATCCTATCAGTAGCTCAAAGAACTGAAGAAGGTGCCGGTTCTAACAGCTCTTATTTTCAGAAGTTCCAAAGGGGGAAAAGCATGCGATGAGTCACCAAGAACATAAACCTTTTGATGGACTTGGAGCTACAGAGTAAAGAGTAAAGAATGGTCGCGGTGGTGCAGTTTTGCTTCGCCATGGCTGCTAGCGCTAGGCAACCTTGCAGCCTTACAGGGATGTTGAATTCTCCAGACGGAGACTGGCTTCAGAAACAAGGACGGTCGTGTCGTGCGTAGTGGTTTGAACGGAACTATCCTTGATTCCTTGTTGCTGCCTGCCGTATTCCGACAGGCAGCTGAGCAAATCTCGCACACGCTGATCATTCACTTCATCATTTCCGACTACTTCAGCGAGCTCCTGAGCCTTCGCCGCGAACTCCTGGCCTTCGTCCCCCACCATGACCCTCCTCAGAGCATCTGCAACGTCTTCAGCCGTGAACGAGCCGTCGTCCTCATCCCGTGCCACCTCGACGCCCATCTTCTTCTCCACCAGATGCCTGGCGATGAGGCCCTGGTCGAACAGAAACGGCAGCAGCACTAGACTGACGCCGCGCGCGAGGCCTTCCGTGACAGAGTTACAGCCGGCGTGCGTGACGAATCCCCCGACTGATGTGTGGGCCAGGATCCTGACCTGAGGCACCCAGCCGCGGCAGACGAGTCCCCAGCCGTTGACCCGCTCCTCAAAGCCTTCCGGCAACCCGTCGGAGTCCGCCGGCGCCCTGTATGCCCAGAGGAACGGCATGCCGAAAGCCTCCAGGCCGAGCGCTACTGCCTGCAGCTGTGCGCTCGTCAACTTGGCTTCGCTGCCGAAGGCCCATGTACACGACGGAGCGCGGCGCCTGTCTGTCGAGCCACTGCAGCGTTGCCTCGTGGCCAGCTACGTCTTGTGTTGGTGGCGGAGGTAACAGCCCGAGCGGGATCACCGGTTTCTGGTAGAGCTCGTCGACCAGCTGCAACCACTCCGGCTCCAACTCCCTGCTGCTCCTGACTCCCACGAGCTGGCTCCCTTCGATGGACTTGGCCATCCGGTAGCCATCCGACACTTCGCCGTCCTCCGGGATGATGCCCGGCTTGAACATCGCGCGGACCTCGTGGCCTCGGAAAGCGACGGTGGTCGGGAAGGGCACGTAGTCGGGGACGGCGGTGAGGTGCTCCAACTTGGTCTTCGCGCGCTCCACGCGACCCATGAGCGCCTCCGGGGGGCCGAAGAAGCCAAGCGACGCGGCGCCCATGATGCTCAGGAACGCGCACGGCACGCCGTGCCTCGCGGCGGCCGCGGGCGCCCAGTACGCCGCGTAGTCAATGAGCACCCAGTCAGGCCTGGACGCCTCCGGCCCCTGCAGGATCTCTGAAAGCTTGGCAGAGAATGCGGCGTCGTAGGCTCGGCGCAGGCACGGCCGCAGATCGTCGGAGCGGAGGTCGATGGTCGCCTCGGCGTCCTCCAGCAAGCGCTCAACGCGAGGCAGGGGGACGTCCACGACATGGACGAGGCCACCAAGATCCGGAGGGATGTCAATGAGCCGACGGGTGTTCCTCGGCGTCGAGAGCAGAGTGGCCCGGTGGCCTTGCAGAGCTATGCGCCTCGCGAGCTCCGTGAAGGGGAGGATGTGGCCGACGGCCAGCCATGGCACCATCACGAAGTGCATGCTGCTGCCGCTGGTCGCGTCCATGGCAATGAAAAGCAGAGTTTGTCCAAGAAGAATTTTGAAGCCTTCTAGTTTCGTGGCCAAATGGACCGGCCGCCGAGCATATAAACGGTATGGCTGTGCCATGGATGATGACGATCCGTTTTGAGTTTTTTACTGACCCAGTAGAACAATCACCGCACGCCGATGAAACATTTGTGAATAAAGTAACTAGTCCTACTCCGTAGTTACTGTGATCTTGCAGGCTCAGAATCTGAAGACAGTGTGAGCCTCAGATCTACTAGATCAATCACTATGATTCCTTTGTTTGACTTGATGTAGATCTGTCTAACATGGCCACTTGTGCGTTCTTCTTATGAGAAATGAATCCTATAAAGCCTATCTGTACGTTTTTCTTGTGGAAATCTATATCTATCTATCTATGCAGTCCTTATATTACTATACTTTGCTGATTTTTTATTCTAACGAGGATGAATATATATTCTCTAGTCAAGGTATGCTAAATACAATTAAAATATATTCGCATCTTTATATTACTATACTTTGCTGATTTTTTTATTCTACTATGTAATGTACGGGCACATCTGCTATAAAGCTTCACATTAGCTCAAGCCATCCGTTCGCTAGTAACATAGCGGGGATTTTTGTATTTTAATCCTTTTTAAATCTTATTATTTAAAAATAATTAGTGACAACTTTTATTTTTATTTGAGGCCTTTTGGTTTCGGTCGTGTCAATTTATTTTTACTAGCAAATATGTCCATACGTTGCAACAGAAGAAGAAGAAATAATCAAATATTTATAAAAATAATAACGGGGATATTGCATATCTATTTATATTTTACTATCTTCATAAATTTTAAAACCTATAATTTCTTATGTCCATGCATACATAATAAGTTTGCATTAGCAATAATATATGACAATGTCCTACTCCTTAAGTATATATCGAATTAAAATATCAAGTTCAGAACTTACTGTGGATTGCACTGCTATATATACGCAGCGGCGTTGTTGGTGTAGGAGCCGTTGATGATGGCGCTCCTAGTAATCCTGACGTGGCCCGGCGACAACTCCATTAATGGACGAAGGCTCCCGGCAGTCCGGCACCCGCTCATCTATGCACGTTTGCCTTGTTGGCTTGTCAGGCTCGCCCTCGTAGGCTGATGTAGTCATGTAGATGGTGGCCGTCATGCGCTGACCATAGACGTAGATGGATCACTCGAAGTCGATGACCACCAAGCATGACTTTCATCACGGTTGGTTGCCTCTGGCCACGGTGACGACCGCGATCACCACGTAACCCAACTCAACGATGCACCGGGCAACACAACATGGGCGCTGGCTCCGGCTAGCTCACGTACCAGTCTTCACCACACATATATGTACCTGCTAAACAAAGAAAGACGAGATAAGAGGTTAGCTGCCCATGGTGGCTGGCCAGCCTGCCCTCCATGAGGCTCCATCTCCTTGCTTGCTTCTTGTCTTTCATAGATTACCTTTGTTGATGCAGCCTATGCGCGTACGTTCTTCTGGTGGCCGGGTGTTGATCAGCCTCCCTCTGTTTCTCGTAGATACACAGCACCTTGTGGCAGGCTATTGCAGCGTAGCGATGCTGCTGCGGGGCTGCCGTTGAGAGCCGCGCGGCGCGCGCTGGGTATAGCCAGGTTCCGGTACAGCCGGAGCGCGGTGCCTTGCGTTGCTGTTACGATCCTTTTCTCTAGGTCTCCTCCTCGGTCCTGGTGCCGCCGGGCAGTGTACGTGCGTTGATCTTCTTCTCCTTGGCGGCGTGCAGGTGCGGGCGTGCGGCCGCTTCGGTCATCCCTCCGTCCATCCGCTCCGAGCCTCTGCATGGCGCCCTGGTGACGGCAACTGTCTTTCTCTGTGATCCAATCGGACAGGCGTTTTATGGGCTCTGCCACATGCGACTACGAGGCAGAGATTGCCGTTTTGTTCTCATATTTATTTGGGTTTTGCTGGATCTATGTTGTATCTCTATTCTTTTCTTTATGTGTGTGTTTCTGTCTTGGTCACTCTAATCGCTTCAACTCTTATCCGTTTCTGTCTGGGACTCTTGATCTCACGTTTCCAAGTCAAACAACGACTTAGGCTTGGGTCTCGGATCAGTCCGTGGTGGATTCGATTTGGGCAAAAAAATCCTTGCCGCTAAAATCGATCTGTTTTAGTCTCAAATTCATGGTCAAACCACCATCCGCACAGGTATTAGTTAAGGGATAGCCTGACCAAAAAATAGGTGGAGAGAAATTTTACCTCTTTATTATTAGGTATAGATTGTTTTTATTTCTAACACTTTTGATTCAATGTCTATGACGCGACAGGAAAATGTTGTCGTGGAACCTGTGAATCCCATTTAGAAAGGTTGTCGCACGACTTCTTTGGTGCGATAACTTTATTTTGCCGCGCCACCCAAACTGACATGGTAAGATACAAAATCTTAAGGTTATATAAGTTTATACAAAAAAGTACCAATATCTAAGACATGAAATAAGTATTATTATATTTATAATTAAATATGGCTTCATAGTCGCTAATCTTCTTTTATCAATTTTGTTAAACAAAAAAGTTTTGACAACAAAACCATAATGTTACTTTTTGCAAGACGGAAGTAGTCAGATGGTAAGATATATAGGATATTTACCATTAGATTTTAAGTTTGTTAATTTTCCATAATATATAGGACTTTTAACATTAATTTTTAGTTTGCTAATTTTCGTGAAGTACTAAATGGATTTTTTTTTTTTTGTTATCGGCATGGATGGCCATAAAAGTCCTCCACTTCACAATATTGGCCATCCAAAGGCGTTGCAAAAACTTTAAATTTCTTGTAGAGGCAATTTTTCTAGATAAAGAAATATAATATTTCAGCCTCCAACGTCACAATCGAATGAGTACTCCCCTTTCATAGTTGATGATGTTTTGAATCTAGGCACAGAAATTAAAGAGGGGCAAAAAAAAGTTGTAGTGCACACAAAACAAAAATGATAGAAATAGAGATGTATTGAAAAAAAAGAAAAAGTACATTAAATAGTGACAATGCAACTAATTTAGGACTGAGGGAGTAGACCACACTCCATCATACGGGCACGGTGATACAAAGTGAAGACATAAAGTAAAGGAACATGTGCTTAATTTGTCGTTGAAACTTTGTATTAATTTTAAGTAACTTAGCAACTTCAAATAAAATACTCAAAACTAGAAAGTTACCGGTATCCTTGGGAGCTACAATTTACAAAAAAACATCTTCATCCAACACTTATGAAAACCGATGATTCTTCTTAGGATTTGCTTGAGAGATAAAAGAAGCTTTCTTGATTCAAGTACTACCTTCATCCCTGAAAGAGTGTTATTCTAGATTTAGAATAACTCAAATATTTTAAGTTTAATTAAATTTATACAAAATATTATCAATATCTATATCTCCAAATAGATAAATTATGTAAATATACTCCATAATTTATCTGATGATACTAGTTACATCTCATAAATATTAGTATTTTTGTATATGTATATATATTTGGTCAAACTTGAAACTCGTTGACTCCAGTGAGAATGACACTCTTTTGAGACGGATGGTAGTAATTTTGTTTATAGAAAGGAGAATTTGCTATAGTTCTTCTAACCTCGATTATATATACACAGTATTCCGTTTGTCCACAAAGGATACAATTGTAGCACATTAGGAATCCTTCAGGCTCCGACTCTGCGTTACATTAGTGGAGGAGCCCTCCATGTTTATTTTAATGAGAGAGAGAAAAACAGCCTCTATGACTAATGTTTACACTACAAGACATAGAAGAAATTGAAACCGCAACCAGCACTACCACACACTATTAAAGTATCTTGAGTTTGACCTAACTATAAATAAAAATATTAGCAATTATAATATAAGTATTATTAATTTGTTATGAGATATATTTTTATACTTATACTTGTGTCTAAATATTAATATTTTTATCTATATATATTGTATTTTTTCGGAGGTAGCGTGTATATATATGAACATCAGGGAATTGTGAAATTGGATAATGGGAGCTTGCCACGTCGGGCGTCGTTCCACACCCTTCCCCTTCTTCCACGCTCGAAGACGAATAGGTTGGAGACTTTTCCCTGTGTGCCATTATAAAAGATCGCAATCCCCTGTGTGCCCCTGGAAAAATTCAGCGGTCTTCAGCGCCACTACTCCAACTTTTTCGGGTCCTCCATGCCACTTCCGTCAATTCAGGTTCTAACGCCGTCAAACTGCAGGTGTGAAAAGACGAAAATGTCCTTAAGTTCAAATATGTTATTAATTTTTTTGAGCATCTTAACGACTTCAAATGAAAAAACTCAAAACTAGAAAGTTGTAGATCTCGTCGAAATCTATAATTTTCATATAAAAATTGTTTTCATTTAATTCCCCAAAAAAATATGATTTGATATGATTAATATATCTTAGAAAAATCATCATATTTTTTTGCGGAATTAAATGAAAATAATTTTTATATGAAAATTATAGATCTCGATGAGATCTACAACTTTCTAGTTTTGAGTTTTTTCATTTGAAGTCGTTAAGATGCTCAAAAAAGATTAATAATATATTTGAACTTAAGGGCATTTTCGTCTTTTCACACCTGCAGTTTGACGGTGTTAGAGCCTGAACTGACGGAAGTGGCATGGAGGACCCGAAAAAGTTGAAGTAGTAACGCTGAAGACCACTGATTTTTTCTAGGGGCACATAAGGAATTACGATCTTTTATAAACTTAAGGGCATTTTCGTCTTTTCATATCTGCAGTTTAACGGTGTTAGAGCTTGAATTGATGAAAGTGGCATGAAGGACTCGAAAAAGTTGAAGTAGTGACGCTGAAGACCGCTAAATTTTCCTAGAAGCACACAAGGAATTACGATGTTTTATAATGGCACAAAGTAAAAGTCTCAGTAGGTTGTGTGATACGAGTGGGAGAAAGCTTCTTCAGCACGTGCTGACCTCTCCGCCGCGCCGGCATGGAGGAGAGGCCATAGATCG